TTTGCTAATACACTGCTGCTTTTTGGACTAGGAATGTATAGAATAGATAAGCCAGGCTAGTATGTTCTGTTAATAGCACACTCCTCTCACTCCTCTCGGTATAGATTCCTAAATAGGGGTAGGGGCTCGGGGTGTGCTGAAGGGGATTACTACACTATCCGCAACACGCTTTAGTAGTATCTTCCTCTGTGCTGCTTTGGGTTTCCCCAACCTAAGAATACTCCAGTGTGCTGGCATGATAGCTACTTATGCCTTAGTTGTCTGGCTAGGAGCTCTTCCTGTGAAGCTGGTTTCTTGGTTTTCATAAATAGGAAGATAGAATTCCTGAGTTGGTAGCTTCCTCATAAAAGGTAAACTTCCTCTTAGGGTCTTCAGCACACCACGGGTAGGCATACTATAATAATAGTAGCAGCACACCAGGTGCACAGAAAAGTAAGAGGTTAACACACTCCTAGCGAAGCAACCGTAAATCTGCTAGCTTGTTACTTTCTTGCATTTACCACTTCCTGTAATAATCTGACCATTACCCACTGAAACACCAAAACCCTTAGTCTCTGTCACTGTCAAACCGTTATTCCTCACATCTCTGCTTCCTTCTCTGTGCTGGACGGCAAGAGAGGAAAGAAGGGGTTTAGAGGTAGACTAACCGCAAACGCTTTTGCTAGGTACTTGGAGCTCGGTCTCCACTAATGAATTAACTAAACTGGGAATGAGTTGGACATCCCACGTCGCGAATGTTAAGCAAATGACAATAATCGAAAAGAAGCTCTACTCTCGCTTTCGCAGTCAATCTCTTTGTACTAGAACCAGAAACGGTTTGCCGGCTCTCTGACCCCGCCGCAGCATTATGATCAAGCCATTGGCTCTGCTGATTTTTCTATTGGGATTGACTAAAAAGGGAATGAGGATCCTCTTCGATCTTGTACTCTGGGTACACTGACCACCACTTTAATATCGATGAAACTCTTTCACTAGAAGTGGGTGCGGATTCGAACCGCTTACAGAAGGATTTTCAGTCCTGCACTCTACCAGAGCTACTACCTGTCACCACTTTCTTTTCAACTCGTAAAGGTAAAGAAAGGATCCGCCTCAACTAACTGATCTATCAACTTTATTTCTTCTCTTATGATATTGATAGTGAGAGGTACTGACGGACACTGTCAGGAGAGGTCCTGTCTTAAAATCCTAGGCGGGGTTCCGTAGAATGATCATACTAAGATGGCATCGAAAGAATTCGTAGAGGAGAAAGTCGGCCGGGCTAATCTTCCGAATCGAAGAAAGACCGGTGAGAAAAGCATTTCACTGACACAAGATTACACTTATGCGCGGATGAGGTGGGTCTCCAATGAAGTGTCAGAGAAGTACTCCCGCAGCAGTGAGCTCTTTTCCTGAGGGTATGAATTTGAGTTGCCGCTCTTCTTGCTTTGGCATTTGCAATAGGGGAAGTGGAAAGAGGGAGAGTTTATATTCAGAGTCTGTGTGGTTAGCTCCACCACTCCCTTGTGAAAACGGAAAAGCATCCCAATCAGAGAAAACAACACTTTCCAACACGTAGATGAAGGAAGGAACAACCTTGGCACACTTAGTGAGGGATTCACTGCGGATAACGGAAGGTCAGCAAAGCCCAATCGACAAGCAACAACTGTCAACAAACCTCGCTTACTTGGCCCTCCGAGGAGAGTTAACTCACATCCTTAGCCTGCAAACAAACTCCCAACTGACAAGCAAGAAATGAACGGAAAACTAGACTGACAGTACCTGTACGGAACGAAGGAGCAAAGCCTGCTTAGTCTCTTACTCGAAGAACGGCCTCCGAGCGATCGTAGCTAAGTACGTACCCAGTGTAGCTTTTGTTTAATTAGTATTCCTTGTTTGTTTGTACTGATGTGACTGTATCCCGTCTGTTCCGCTTGGTTCATTGTGTTTTTCGCTTCCCTGGCTTAAAGGACGGAACCACCGAGGAATACCGGTTAGCAGCTCTAGTAGGATGTATACTGTGCTTTGTTCCTTGTCTCTTTCTTTCATCCTCCGAGTAGTTCTCCAAGCCTAGTAGGAACATCGCTAGCTCAGTCAGTTTGTGTTTCTCCTGCTTTCTTTCCTTCTGCTTCCGAAGAACTGTTGGTCTCTTTGTATCCACTGAACACTCTCCTAATCTATCTTCCTTCTCTCAATTGTTCAAATCTTTGTTTACATCGGTATATGTAAGGGACATCTTATAGGTTCTTCTGTAGTAATCTTTCGACAGTTCCGGTTAAACTTCTACTTTCACTCGGAACATCCCGGGTGTTGGCTTCCCTGTAATTCCGTGTAAGGAAGGTTAGTAAGTAAGCTAAGCCCTGTCAGGAAGTAATCCCAGGAATGTTTGTTAGTTGTTAGTAAGGTAAGCCAGGTAAGCCATGTCAGTTGGTAAGAAAGTAATTCCTTCCGGAGTTGTAAGGTTAGTAAGCTTTTCCCGTTTATAGGAATGGGTTTCTAAGCCTAGGAAGTAAAGGAAGTTGTGTTGGTCTTTCCCTGGTTCCTTGTTCCCCTGTTGCCCTAAGAGAAGGGCTGTTGTGATTCTACGGTTTAGAGCATTTCCAAGATAGCTAGTTAGCTCCTAGTAGCTCTTAGTAGATGGCCGGGCACTTCCCAACCACTTTTCTTGATTCCTTACCGGCCTTGAGAAATGAAGAAGGAGAGATCCCTATCCCAACCAGATAATCTTTTACCGGAACATACCTTGTTCTATTATACGCCTCGGCCTTGGTCGAGTTAAAACATCCTCCAATACTACTTCCACTATAAAACCTTTGTTTGGTGGTTTCAGTGCTATCCTTGATCCTTCTTTCGCTACTGAACTTTCTGGGGCAAGAAAAGCTTCTCCGCTCGTCAACTCGGTAATAGGCTTCGCTCCTCGCTTTTGTTCAATTATAAATCAAAGTGAATAGAAAAAATACAGGCGCAAAATAAGCATCAGTAATGAGGGAAGGGACGGCAGTTATTGAGAACACCCCAAAATCAACTTGAGTTATAGTGGGGTGGTTGGGCTCACATTGAACACAGTGGATCGGGGTGATTTTCTTCACTGACAAAGACACAGAGAGTGGTCGGCATCAGCGATCTCATCGTTCTAGTCCCCAGACGAAGGTGAGACCAACCTTATTATGATTAGCGAAGTCCTTTCCAACTCCGTCGAATGGTTTCCCTCCCCTTCCCTTGTCTTGGTATCTGTCTTCGGTGGACTGTGAAGGCGCGTAGCGGGGTTGTTCCGTTGTGTTGTTGTCGGGTTAGCTTCCCTAACAACTGGACTTGGCTTGGGATTTCCAATCTCCTTCCGTATTCTTTCCTTTAATATGCTTGTATCACATACCAATAAGACATAGGAGGATCCGATAGATTGAAATCACATACCAATAAGACATAGGAGTTCGTTCCGAACAGATAAGATGGTAGTTGGCTATCAATCTTCTTTAGCACGAGTCGATCCCTATTCTTCTATAGTTGGTGAGAACTCTGACTTGAACCTGCTGCTTACTTCAATCTTCTTTTCAATTTAGATATGGATGGTAAAGTCCATTCAGATATAGATGGTAAAGGAAGATCAAGTTACTCGGCTAGACCATTATCCAAAGAATGGAAAGCTAAAGCAAGTCAAAGAATCAGTCCCATAATTGAATGGCATCGTCCTTTCTTTCCCCCATGAATTGCTTTCTCTCGTACTCATGCGATCCCGTCCGACCCCTTCCTACTTGAACTCCTGGTTTTGATGCTGTGACTTCCCCTATGAATTGCTTTTTCTTCTTTTCTTGCTTTCCTGCGTTGCGTACAACTCCTTCTCTTATTAGAGGGCTCCCACGGCTCCTATGGTTGAGGAGCGTTGGGCCCATTCTAAGTTGGAGCGACTCTCTGGAAGAATTCCTTTGAAGAAAGATCCAAGCACTCAACTTGATTGGAGATGTTAGCGAAAGAGTCTCGAGAGCAAGGCGTTGAGCGGATCAACTTTTGCTTTCCCCTAATAATCTGAAGGGAACAGGTGAGAATGAAGTTCAGGCTAACCACAACTCCTTTCTCGTTTCAGTGGGGGGTTGCAGTCTAATGAGAAGTGAGGGTTGATCATCGATCTGGAGCGAATCTTTTCTGCCAATTGACTTTCTCTTTGAGACTACTGGACCTAGTTCTTGCCTTTGAGCTATGAGCTCGGCTCTCTCATCAAGGAAATCACGGAGTTAGTCATGACATCAACAGCGATCCTCCTACGAGCAAACAGCTCGCTATTCATGGATAGTACTTCCAAAGCAACAAGGAAAACATACTCTTTTCGGACCTTACGGTCCTGCTTTAGCTGCCCTGGTAACGTACGTCAGCTTACAAGAATTCTGTGCATACACAAAAGCAAGGCAGCCTCAGACAAACATTTGGGCCCTTCACAACCCATGAAACCTATTCCCACCTAAAGAAAGAAAGAGATTTCTTTACTCAAGCTGCAAACAACCCTCCACGCCCTCTGTGCACCACCCACCCGATAGTACACTCGGGCGCTACACCGTCTCGACAACTACGAGGTAGTGATCCAGGGGATTGGGATACCACCTGGAGGACATGAATCAATGGGGACATCGCTACGACACTCTTCCCGCCTACTCCATGGCCATATTCACAGATAACAACTGCAACCTCAACATCCTGCTGCTCGATAAGCCACCACTTCTCCGGGTCTTGATGGCCGATGTGCTTATGAGTAAGCCGTTGCTTCAACAAAGGATTTACTGAGCGAACTACTAAATCAACAAGATCAATCGTCTTTGCTTCCGGCATCCTTTCTGATTCACCGGATTACAGGGGGAGACTAGCCTCATTACTTCTTAGTGGGCGAGAGGTGCGCCTAACCCACCTACCCACTCATAAATCACGGTGTTCAGCTGACTTGAACTGATAGACCCCTATTGTATTGGAATTTAGCCCCCATCTTTTGACTGTTGTCAACGAATCTCTTCAATGTTCGATTCTACTCTATGTTAGAACATTTCTGTGAATGCTATTCTAATCTAAGTGGTCTTATTTTGTGTCCTGTGCTAGGAAGCATTACTCTTCTTTTCATTCCAAATTCAAGAATACGACCGATACGATTAATTGGTCTGTGTGCCTCTCTTATTACTTTTTTGTATTCTCCTGTTCCTCGGATACAATTCGACTCTTCTATGGCCAAATCTCAATTTGTGGAAAGCCTTCGATGGCTTCCTTTTGAAAAAATCAATTTTTAGTTGGGTATAGACGATATCTCTTTATTCTTCGTGATATTGACCACATTTCTGATCCCTATTTGCATTTCAGTGGGTTGGTCTGGTATGAGAAGTTATGGGAAAGAGTATATTACAGCATTTTTAATTCGTGAATTTCTAATGATCGCCGTGTTCCGCATGCTGGATCTTCTACTATTCTATGTTTTTCCCGAAAGCGTGCCAATCCCTATATTGTGCGGAGCGGAGTATCTTATATTCGCTGGGATAAAGCTTTTCCTCTGCAGGGGCCTTGTGCAGTAAAGCCCCTACGGGCGGTCGTCCGTCTTTGTAAAGTAGAACCGAACCCGCCCAATCCAACTAAGAAGAACCGAACCTGACAGACACATCTTTTTCCTTTTGGAAGGGTACTCCGAGTAGTGGGTACCTCATAGGACCTCGACCCGCCTACTCGGGTCTTGTATGGATATGCAGGAAGGGGTGCTCCTAGGTGTGTGTAGGGGTTGTGTTTGTTCGCGAGAATGGATTCCTCGTCAAGTCTGTTTAGGGGGTGTGGACACACTTACGCGAATTCAGGTAATGGCTACAAGGGAGAAATCAAAAGGAAACTATACCCGACCAGGGATGGACGTAAACTCGTAAGCTACCGAGGTTAGGGATAATCGTCCAAGTCTTATTGTGAAACAAAAAAGCCACCCCGCCACACCAAGCGGGTTGGTTTCTCTGTCGTCGCCGGATAGCTCTTGGCGAGGTACTGTTGTCACTCGACTGAAAGGAGAGGACACCTTAGAATAAGTTGCTAAAACAAAGGGAGAGCAGAGTATCGACCCGTTCAGTAGAATTCTGAAGAAAGACTGTTGACAGCTGGTGGAGACATTTCTTTGGCCCCCGTCAAATCAAAAGGGTTCGAGAATAGGGTCCTGCCCCTCAGATTCTCAGATAAAAAAGAGTTCCAAACCTTTATGCATGCACCTCCGTATAAGTGCTGCGTACAAGTTCCGGCCAGGATAATTGGGAAAGATCAAACCCGAAAGAACCGCTCACATCACAGTAGTAGCAGCGTAAAGGCCGTAAGTCGGGGGGGGGGGGGGGGGCGGCCATAACATAAGGTAAGGCTATTACTTTCACATCTCTCTTTCTCTCGTACTATAAGAAAGAGAGATCCGCTGCGTGAGCAACCCGACTGTGCGTTACATGTGCTCTACAGGCCGCACTCCATCTTTCTTCTTCTTAACGAGCCCATTTATCTTTAGATTTTGAAGACGGGCGTTGCGTTCGGTTCGAAAGGTATGGTTTTCAGTATGTCTCCAGATAGGGCACCCCATTAGTCCGGCTAGCTAGTGAGCGGTTCTTTCGGGCGAGAAGCAGGCCGGGCCCTACGGGCGGGCATCTCCCGCAACGAAAGCTGCATAGTTCGCCACCACCCGAAAAGTAAAAGATTAGAGAGTCCAGGCTAAAAATACATGCATAGATAGTGGTCTAATGACAAGGGCCAACGACGGAAGCTCGGGACGGAGCCATATGATGCAGAAGTTACGTACGGTTCCCTGAGAAGGGAGTGGCTACCTACTGGAGCTTCGACCAAGCACCCCTGGTCAATTCCGCTTTGGGGCCACCCCTTACTCTACCATTATTATAGGAGTATGGGGTTCGAGACAAAGAAAGATCAAGGCAGCATATCAGTTTTTCCTTTATACTTTACTTGGATCTATTTTTATGCTATTAGCTATTCCATTGATTCTTTTCCAAACAGGAACCACCGATTTACAAATATCATTAACCACAGAATTTAGTGAGCGGCGCCAAATCTTTCTATGGATTGCTTCTTTCGCCTCTTTCGCCGTAAAAGTGCCTATGGTACCAGTTCATATTTGGTTACCCGAAGCTCATGTAGAGGCACCTACGGCAGGATCCGTCATCTTGGCAGGAATTCCTTTAAAATTTGGAACCTACGGGTTTTTAAGATTTTCAATACCCATGTTTCCCGAAGCGACACTTTGTTTTACTCCTTTCATTTATACTTTAAGTGCAATTGCTATAATATATACTTCCTTGACCACTTCAAGACAGATCGATCTAAAGAAGATCATTGCTTACTCCTCAGTAGCCCATATGAATCTGGTGACTATTGGTATGTTTAGTCGGGCGGCGGTCGTTAGGTCACCTATTTTGAGTTACGGACACACAAGGCCAAAACATGTGTGTCGGGCGTGCGACCCATCAACCTACTAGCAATGGGGGAGAAAACATAGCATGTTGCAACAAAAGCTTGATTCGAGGTGTCAGCAAAACACTGCCGTTTGTTCCCTTCAGTCCCTTAGCGCCTCGGGACGGGAGTGGGGGACGGTCGTTTAGATGGCAACAGCAGCACCGGCTCCACGAAGTCTGAATCGAATCTTTCTGTTGGCTTTCCCAATTCATTCGTAAATCAAAATAAAAGGACTCGCTTCTAGCTGCTTCGCCCGCTTCTTCTTATTATGACGGTTATGTTGGCGTGGCGAAAATGAACGAAAAGCGAGATGAACGTGCTATTTTCAAATCGATTGATAGATAGCCTGATCTGTTCTGATAGATCTAAAGAGTAGAAATAGAGAATAGAGAGGGAATCAATAATAAGGTCTTTGAGCCTATTTCTATCTATTGATGAGACAACTATCTATTCTTGATCCATCAGAAAGAAATCGATATGTATTTGATGGAGTCTACATCGTACGTAGAGTGCCCCAACGCTTTTTGGGCCAGCTCAGTTCTCTTATCCATCGGTCCAATGCACTAGGCTCATCTCATGGAGAGAAAAGCCAAAATGTAGTTGTCTTGTTGTTGTTCGCCGCCTTGACGCATTCCCCTCTCTCCCTGGCATCATCCCACACAGAAAGAAAGAGCGCGGAGCCCCGACCCGAGTCGTAGATCCGCTAACGTAAAGCGAGGAGTTGAGCCTGAACTGGCGAACCGAAGTCACTTTCGGAACCATACTTCCTACAGCTAACATGTGCCCAGTCCTGCGGAAAGGCGCAAACGAACGTGAGCTGCTATACCGAAATCCCCCGCTGGCCATCGGGGACCGAGTGGTAAGGCCATGAACTGCAAGGGAACGGATCACTCATTCTTCCATTGGGGACAGGTGCACGAATGACAACTCCAAACGTCACACATCCGCCGCCTACTTACCGTTTAGGTGGCACCAGCGAGATCCAGCTAAGGAAAAAGAGTGTCGCGGCTGTTCCACTCTGCCGCGGTCTCATGAACTTCATGGAGGAACCTAGCTTCTTCAGCGAAGCTGGAGGAACCCCTTCCCGCGCGCAAAGCGAATGGGCGCTGTGCTGTGGGTCAGTTTCGGGGCGGGGGGCGCAGAGATACCAGAAGAATGATTCATTTGTTTGGATCGACGAGCTTTCTCAGCCCCAAAACTCAGAATCAATGGAATGTCTGTCCATAAACATCTATTCTATCTGTATATATAGGGGATCTCTCTATACATATCAAAGTCTTTTATGGCATGATATGATCGCCTAGCTGTAGCCGCATATCAGCTGCGCTCAATATGCGAATTTCTGTTGGATCAGATCTTTTCTTTCGCTTTGACGGAAGCTTTTTGACCTAGCGAAAAGCACTTTCACGCAAGCAAAGTAGAAGCTTTTGCCAGAAGCAAGACGAGGAAGCGGAGCTGTAGTATAAGCGGTAGCTTCCCCCGACCGACTAAAATACAAGAGTCGCGGCCTACTTTGATTGCGAAGGGGTTTGGCAACAAGCAAATGGCTTTCTATCATAGTTGCAAGGGTTAAAAACCCTTAGTTCGCTGCTTTTCCCAGGGCCAGAGAAGGGCTTATACTGCTCGTCTTTGTTTGGTTTTATATATTCATTCAGTAAAAATACAAACTACAACAAAGTGGAAGTGGAAGGGCCACTATAGAAGCTAGAACTTGCCTTATAAGTCGGCCTAACCAAAGCGTCACGACAACAAAAAATTACCCTTATGAATGGAATCTTAAGTAGGGGGCTTTGACCGCCCGCCTACCAATCAAAGAGGCAGAGAGTAAACGTAAGCTCACCCGTAAGCTCGAAGAGCTTCCCTTCATTCGCTTCGCGGGAGCCGCACAGCACATAGCTGGAAGTCAGAGGGCCCATACTACCTGCCTAACCCTTCGCTCCGAGGGACCGTAGATCGGAAAGCACCCCATTTATCCAAAAGAGAAGGGAAGGGGCCTATGTATTTGCATGACCCCTGCGGAGGAACCCCTATCCCGGAGCCAATCCCCTATTGGTCCTGCCACCACGCCGCAGAACGAGAGCTCGTGTGGAACCTTTTCTTTCTGGCGTAACAGCGGTGGAACGTAACAAAAGATTACGGTCGCCTAACATTATAACATAACATAAGGGCGGGGGGTACGGTAAACTCGGCCAAAATATGACACCCGAAGGGCCCGAACGCACAATCCTATCCCATCCGAGTCCGAGTTTACCCCTTGCACTTCGGACAGCCGACCGTAGCATCATAAGGCTTGCAGACCTTTCGAGGTAAAAAAAAAAGGTACGGTACATAGGAGGTTGGACTTTCTCAACGTGGTGTATAGCACGAAAAACCTTTCGATACAAGAAAGGGCCGTTCTCACATGAAAGAAGAGAATCAATCCTTTCTTCTCTTCTTTCTCTTTCTCGAGAAGGAAAGAAAGAGGATGGGGGAAGGGGGAAGGCTTGGGCCTACCTATATCCCGATAAGACCTCATAAAGGAACGGCGGGAGTGATAGGTTCCATATTGCCGAGCTGAAGGGCAAGACTTTTGTACGTGATCGTAGTATGTGACGTCGTCTCGTCCACGCTGCATTGAAGAGTACCTACGCACTAAGTTCCGGTTCCGGTTTCTATCCTCGGCGGGGCGCTTACAGCTTATCTCTACAGTCATCGACAGTCTCACCAACTTCTGGTGCTCAGTCAGAATTTGCGGGATCTTGACTGTGAGGAGCAAGAAAAGAAAGAAGAAACTCATCATGCAAGAAGGGACTTTTCATTCTTTCGGCGATGTAATAGAAGATGCAGACTTCGGGCATTCAAATGACTTCCTGTTCTGGAATGTCAAGACATTAGTAGTAGATGTCGGCATTTCCTAAAGAAAGCTGTTTGAGTAGCAGGAGGACCCGTAGCGCTAATGAATAATCGAAGGCGGATTAAGAGAAGAGAGCTGTTAGCGTAGATGAAAGTTGCGGGTTAGTGCTCCAATATCCTCAGTAGATAGAGGTAGAAGAAGAGCTATAACAGTATACATAGTAGGTAGCGAGATCAAACATAGTGCATCACTATCATC